TTATTTATTTTATATTGGATTTCTATACCGCCCTTCTCCCTAAGGACTCAGGGCGGTGTACAGCCAGATTAAAAAAACATGCAGAACAAATATTAAAAACAATTAAAAGATATATAAATTTGGCCCAATTAAAACTCATTTACCAATTAAAAACGTTTAAAACATTTAAAAACAGTTAAAAATTTCATCTTAAGCCAGCCCGGCTTGTTTAAATAAATGGGTTTTAAGGGCGCGACGGAAGGCACTGAGGTCTTGGATTCTCCTTATCTCTGGGGGGAGCTGATTCCAGAGGGTAGGTGCCCCCACAGAGAAGGCTCTCCCCCTGGGGGTCACCAGCCTACATTGTCTGGCTGATGGCACCCCGAGGAGGCCCTCTCTGTGGGAGCGCATGGGTCAATGGGAGGTCGTTGGTAGCAGCAGGCGGTCTCGAAGATAGCTAGGCCCTATGCCATGGAGCGCTTTAAAGGTGATAACCAACACCTTGAAGCGCACCCGGAAGACAACTGGGAGCCAGTGCAGCTCGCGCAGGAGCGGTGTTACATGGGAGCGCCATGCTGCTCCCATCACTACCCGCGCTGCTGCGTTCTGGACCAGCTGGAGCCTCCGGGTGCTCCTCAAGGGGAGCCCCATGTAGAGAGCGTTGCAATAGTCAAGGCGAGAGGTGACGAGGGCGTGAGTGACTGTGCACAGGGAATCCCGATCAAGAAAGGGCCGCAACTGGCGAATCAGGCGAACCTGACAAAAGGTCCCCCTGGTTACAGCCGTCAGATGTTCCTCCAAGGACAGCTGCATATCCAGGAGGACTCCCAGATTGCGAGCCCTCTCTGTGGGGGCCAATGACTCGCCCCCAATAGTCAGTGATGGAGTCAACTGACTATATCGGGATGCCGGGAGCCACAGCCACTCAGTCTTGGAAGGGTTGAGCTTGAGCCTGTTCCTCCCCATCCAGACCCGTACAGCCTCCAGGCACTGGGACATCACTTCAAGGGCATCGTTGGGGTGGCCTGGGGTGGAGATGTACAGCTGGGTGTCATCAGCGTACTGGTGGTATCTCACCCCAAAGCCATGGATGATCTCACCCAGCGGCTTCACATAAATGTTGAACAGAAGGGGCGAGAGGACCGATCCCTGCGGCACTCCACAAATGAGAGGCCTCGAGGTCGACCTCTGCCCCCCTGCCAACACAAACTGCGACCGGTCGGAGAGAAAGGAGGAGAACCACCGCAACACGGTGCCTCCCACCCCCAACTCTTCCAGCCGGTGCAGCATGATACCATGGTCGATGGTATCAAAAGCCGCTGAGAGGTCTAACAGGACCAGAACAGAGGAACAACCCCTGTCCCGAGCCCTCCAGAGATCATCAACCAACGCGACCAATGCCGTTTCTGTGCTGTGCCCAGACCTGAAACCCGACTGGAACGGATCTAGATAAGATGTTTCCTCCAGGAATTGCGGAAACTGTCGTGCGACCACACTCTCAACAACCCTCGCCATAAAGCGAAGGTTGGAGACAGGACGATAATTGGCCAATATTGCCGGATCCAGGGACGGCTTCTTGAGGAGAGGCCTCACCACCGCCTCTTTCAAGGCACTTTTGCTATTCTTTCAGAAGTCACAAAGTTTAAAATCTAGCATTTTCCACCTTGCATTATCCTGTTTTCAATAGTCCCATCATGCATATAGGAAACATGTTTGAGATGTGTTATCTGCTGCCTGAAAATATTTTTTTCTGGGTTTTGTAAAAGTTTGGATATACAGTATTATTATTTTTTGCTAAACTGTAATTTTAAATTGTCTTGGTTATAGTTAATAAGATGAATTTTCTATGTAGAATTATAATTATTTAGGTTACATATAAAACAAGTAGTAAATGAAAGAGTGAAACATTACTTTCTTTTACAAGTATATTTAGTTTATTAAATTCAAAAATGCAATTAATATTCATTGCATGATTTTTTCCTAGCCAGTGCTGAATAAGCAGAATTTTGCTTCTGCATCCAAGATTTTTCCTCTTCCTCTTTCTGTGCTGCCCAAAAGCTTTTACAGAAGGATCCTCTATTCCTCTGAGAAAAATCCCTCTGTCAATAGAGGGAACTCATTTCTTTCAGTTTTCTTTTTCTTTTTTGTAAACGTTTTTTATTTTTCCCCTCTTTTATTTCTTTTAGTTTTCTAAAGGAATATTTTTAGCTTTTTACTCTTAGTGATAAAACAAGGATTGATATCATTCCTGAAGCCTGCAAATGGCAGTGCTGGTAACAAAATCCATATTTGAGTTTTTAACAAATTGACTAAAACATGATATTGATTACATATATGTTAGCATGGAGATGTCTTCTATGCTTTGGAAAGAGAGTTCAAGTTTCATAATATTTCTGAAGATTTGGCTGACAGACTTAAAAGAAGTCAAATTCAGAAGAATTACATTCATGATGATGGGAGATAGATAGATAGATGATAGATAGATAGATAGATAGATAGATAGATAGATAGATAGATAGATAGAGAAAAAAACTTTTGCAACAATATCTGGAAGATATGATGGCATAGGTTATTGGCTGCAGGAATAACCTGGATCATATATAAAAAAATCAGGATTGCATATTTGGATAAACAGGCATGAAACCAAGAATGTTTAGATGTCAGTAGGAGTGCTGTAAATATTATTTTTCTAGAACTGCCAGTTAGTCAGCTTTTCTAGTCTCCGTATTGAAGATCTAAAACTGGAAACATTTCTGTTTCACATACCTGTCAGACAATTTCCCCTTAAATTGTATTATTCGATTGGCAAATTATTTCTCTTTTCATTTTATTTCATTGGTTGTTTTGTTTACAACCAGGATACTTTGCTCCTGTGCACTTTTATTTATCTTTTATCTGTTGCTTGACCAATCCAATTGGTTGGACTGGAGACATAATTATTTTGTAACAAACAATTCAGAAATAAAAGAATAAAAGAAAAAGTTGGAATTGGAACTCAAGTCTCTCCGCCCTGCTCCATCTGACATGGATCACTTTCCCTGGATTCAACTTTTAAACATATTAAGGAAAACAGGGTCCAAAGAGAGGTCAGGGAGTGTTAATGTTAACCCAGGAAACAATGTGGTGTCAGCAGGCTACCTGTGATCTCACTGGCTTACCTGAATCTCACTGGTAGTCTTTCCTTCTAGTCATGTTAGGCCCATCTTAATAACAAAGCTCCCTTTATAAATCAGCGCAACCTGTAATGCAGCTTGTTGTATAAGATAATACACTGTTTTCCTTTTATATATGTTTTATTTATTTAACGAGTATTTATAGGCCAGGTCAGTCATGGATATCCTGTCAGAACTGCTACAGTGAAACATCTCTCAGTCTATTATCCATTATAATCTACAGTTGCTGAAGTTTATAATTTAGCAGTAAAAATCTCCTCCAGGCTAAATCTTGCCATAATAAGTGTCAGCAGTGAGGTAATTAATTTTCTTTACACACCTTAAGAAAAAAAAAAGAGGGAGGGAGGAAGCGTTTAGAATTGCCAAGGGTTTATCATGTGCAAACACCTACACTTTCTTGGAAAGGCCTCCTTTATTATTTTTGCTCCTTCTCCTATTCTTTTTCTTCCCTTTCTCTTTCCCTATTATTTTTCCTCTTTACTTTTTTCCCCTAAAACAAATTTCCACATAGTTGTGCTATAAATGCCCAATGGGCAACTTACCCAAAGACAGGTGATTCCTCCATGATTTTATAGAGGAAAATAAATCCACACAATTATAAAAAGTCATTCTCAACTCTTCTCTCAGGATAGGGTCATTTTTTAATTAACAGAGCCCTATTAAAATCAGAATCTGTTCTCATTTAAGCAGTTATCTTTATAACTCCTTGTTAAAACAAAACACTGTGAATATATTGAAACTTGTATAGAAGCAATAGGGGAAATTCAGCCTGTTTTCCCAAGAGCTTTTTCAAAAAATAGTTTCATAAATTAGGGGCTAAATGCTAAAAACAGGTTTTCAGAAGATTTCTTAGCCTTACATTTTTTGACCCTGAGATTCAGTAGTCTTGAATCTCATTTTATAATTTCTTATTACAAAAAAGCTACTTAACCAATATAAGCTTGCTTTTGATGGAAAACAAGATCAGCCCTTACCCTATGCTAAATGTACGTGGTCCACCAATTCATTATTTTAAAGAATTGTCTCATTTATTTTATTTATTATTTATTTTATCATATTTGTATACCGCCCTACTCCCGGAGGACTCAGGGCGGTGAACAGCCAAGATAAAAATACAAAGAACATACAAAAGTTAAAAACTATTAAAAATAGATTAAATAATTTGGGCTCAAAAAACAAATTTAAGACATCCAATTTATCTAAAAACATTTAAAACCCAATTTAAAAGGGAGAGTTAGGCCAGACCAGCCTGTTGGAATAAAAACGTTTTTAGGGCGGCGGAAGATACGTAAGTCCTGGATCCTCCGTATCTCTGGGGGGAGCTCGTTCTAGATGGCAGGTGCCCCCACAGAGAAGGCTCTCCCCCTGGGAGCCACCAGTCGACATTGTTTGGCCGACGGCACCCTGAAGAGCCCCTCTCTATGGGAGCGAATTGGTCGGTGAGAGGCTACTAGTGGCAGAAGGCGGTCTCATGCCTTGTCAATGACAGTTCAGCAAAACATAGGAGACCCACTGTAATTCTTACAAAAATGCCTGTATGATGAAGTTTTGGGGAGGGAAAAAAACCTCACTTCCATAGTCACCAGATAGTTTCTTCATAGACGTCTTCTGAACTTATCTGTGATTTTACACTTTCATTTTATCACTGTATGTGAGATATAGAGAACTGAGTCTGAAGAACTGAAATGAAAGGAAACTTGTAGCATTGTTTAATTCATGCAATTTGTACTATCTGAATTTACAGGTGGTTGACCATTTTTTGACCAATGAGAGTTTGTCATTTGCTTTTTTCAACTTTTATAGTTTTCTGCTAAGTAAAATGACATTCTAAAGAGCCTCTCTTTGCAGGTCTTGAAAAAGCAAAACATTGCACAGAATGGGATCTTCTGCTCTGCTATGCCATCAGTGTTCTTTATCCAGTCTCATCCCTCAACTTCCTGTCAGGAGCAGATCTTTGTTTGCCAGTAATAAGAATGGGAAGAGAGTGAACAAAGAGACCTGTGGAGATAGGATGGCAAGCCCAGAGGCTGTATCCTTGATCAGTGCTTTTGAAGTTTTTAAAGGGAACTGGCGAGGTCTTCAGGTCGACAGCTGGCAAGCCATTCTACACAGTCCATACAGCCCGAGGTAACTGCAAGAAAACATATCTGCTTTTATCTTTGAATTTTCTAATAGTTGCAGTGCTGAGATAGATGCATGCCATGATATGGTCAGGCTGTTTTTTTTCCAGTGGAAAATGCCAATTTTGTGCGGAGCAGGTTGGACATCCTGAGGGTCTCAGCCATCAATATCCCTTCCCCTTCATGCCGGAGTTAGCATTTCTGAAAGGTTCCAACTTTCCTTTTTTAGTGTGAGAGGCTGGAAAAATTATTAAACATGTAAACATTTTTTTAAACAATTTAATGAATGCAGTATTTTAATACATTGAAATGTAAATTATAATAATTTTTTTTTCTGATTCTGGCAACATCTATCTTGGTTTTGGCTTCCTTTTGGCAAACTTTGAAATAGAGTGAAATTAATTCATTAGCAATATACTTTCTTTACTACACAAGATCTTCCATATTAGGTTTGGTGGAACTGTTAAGCAATTGGATTGCAAACTTATAGATTCAAGCAACCACAAGAGGAATAAATGGTATTAAATTAAAAACATTGTTTGTCAGAACTTGAAAACAGTTATATGTCTTCATTGCATTCATGCTATGGCAATCCATTTGTGGGGAAAAGTTTTCACAAACTTTTCTCCTTCACATGTAATTTCCTGTTGTTATATGTCTCTAGAATCATTATTCTGTCTTTTCTGATTCATATTCCTTAGTTCTTGGCTCATGAATTGCAAATTATACAATGCAACTTCAGAATTCCTATTTGATAATTTAGAATTAATAATCTCATCAGTGTATTTAATGACTTGAGAAAGATTACATTTCCATGTAAAAGTAATTAGGCAGTACTTTATAGCATATGTTATTGGGTTACAACTCACTTAAGCATGAAAACAGCAAATTGCATAATGCACAAGTAACAATGTATGGCAAAGCATTCTCATTAACTTGGCTGCGTTAATACTACTCATATATGTTACTGAAAGAATATATTTTGGATAATGATTAGGATGCCACCCAGTGAATCTACTCCACCCATTCTGATGTGCAAAGCCCTTCATGCATGGGATTAATGCTTTTCCAAAACACTGCTCTTCACAAACTCTTGAGAATGGAGAACTGTGTAAACTGATAGCATTAATAGGAGACCAAGTGGATTTGTTCCTAATTTGTCTCCAAAATTCTTGTCTGAAAGAGAGCCCATTTCACATTTTGTAGTTGAAAAGCCAACCAGTCAAGCTTTTCCCTTAGATACTGTAAAGCAGGGGAGTATATTTTTTTTCTGAGCCAAAGATACATGGAGCTGAATGACATGTTAGAACCACACTTTAAAAAATGGTGTGTGTGTGTGTGTGTGTGTGTGTGTGTGTGTGTGTAAGACCAGGATAGGAACTAACATGGATTTAATTTCATTTACATGAAATGAAAATCAAATAATCTGATTATTTTCTTGTTAGTAAATAATCAATTTTCCTTGTTGTCATAAAAATGACGATTTTAGAATAACATTTGGAGGTCAAGGGCTTTACCTGTGTTGGGTTTCCTGTTGCCCAGGGCTCAAGTCCTATAAGAAGAGATTGAGGTAACTGGATACCTTTAGCCCTGAGAAAATATGTCAAAGAGAGAATATGATTGCACTCTTGAAGGGATGTCACAGAGAAAGGAGCCAACTGTTCTCTATCAGGTTGGAGTGTGGGATGTGGACTTATTATCAAGTTACATGAATGAAGATTCTAGATGAGAAAAAAACTGCCTAAGAGCAATTCAACAATGGAGCTAATTACATACGAGGTCATAGGTTTTACTTTTTGATTGTGCTCAAATATTGACTAGAATACTAGATAGTAGTTCGAGAAGCTTTAAATTGGTTGCATGTGATGCTGGACTCAGTCTAAGTGGTTAAGTTGTGTGCCTCTACTATAGGCTATAAAGAGTTTTAATAGATCCGTTCTGTCTTTCCCTTCCCAATTTTACATTATCATGCCTCAAATGACAACTGACTTTAGCTTTTTCTTCACATTTCATAATTCCTAGAGGCTACCTAATCTGTTACCTATTTTTGGGAGGTGGTAAAGTTGGCCTTTCAATTTTTAAAACTGTATACCTATTGCTGTATACTTCACCTTTCATTTAGAATGACCAAAAGTGCTTGATTATTTCTTAGTACAATAATAATATTTTATTAATGGTCCTTTTAGAAATGAGTGGGACCCCATTTAATAAGTGATACCTTATCCACTGTTTAGACTAGTAATTGGAGAAAGATAAGTAGGGATAAGGCTACTTTGTATGCTTTGTTATGCTTTGTATATTTAAGTCATATTATAATACCTTTACTTAATGTTCTCAGAAAGTCATAACACAGAAGGCGAAAAGGATGCTGAGAGGCGAGAAACTGAAACCGTTTCCTAGAGGCAAACTGAACTTCTAATATATAATACGACCACAGTGTTCACTATATGTGACAATCTTGGGCTGGGAGAATATTCTTTTATTAAAAAATTGTTAACTATTTCTAGCAGGAGGGAATCACATACTATACATCTGAAGTGCTTTAAAATATCTCATTTATTTCTATGGGAACATTAAATATGAACTTAAGCTTCTCTCCTTAAATTAATGGGCGTTGAAACGTATTAATGATAGTTAGATTGGAACTGCAGTCTTAAGCTACACAATCTTCTGTGTAAAGCAGCTGAAAATTAAGTTGCCTCAAAAATCCCTTTTTAAGTGCGAAACCTTCCCTCTATTTTGCCAATGGTGATGGCTTAATTTTCTGCTTCAGAAAGTTCATAATGGTAGAGACGTTTATGTGTAACTGCATCAGTGGTGGGTTGCTACTGGTTCACCCCAGGTCGGGTGAAGTGGTAGTGGTGGCAAGAGGCTCTGCTCACCCGCCCGGACACTTCTACGCATGCCCAGAAGAGTTGCACTTGTGCACAAGTGGGCGCACACCCATGAACAAACCAGTAGTGACGGGTTTTGAAACCCACCCCTGAACTGTGTCTCTATTCACATACAGCAGCTGAGGAATCTGTGGCGATTTATATATTGCCAAACCACAACTTCCAACAACCTAGCCCACACAACTACCATAGAAGTGAGGAGTTGGTAGATGTAGCTCAAAATCAAAAGGTGTCAAGTTCCTCATCACCTATATGGTGATGACCATAAACTGAATAAGTAAACATTTGAACACTTCCACCTACAAAGTCTTATGCAAAATCCAAACCATTTTTGCAGCTTAATATTGAACATATATAATTAGTTTAGTCTTTTTGTCCAATCTTCCTACAGTGCAGTTCAGTGGTGGGTTGCCCCCGGTTCGCACCGGTTCTATAGAACCGGTAGTAAAACCGGCGGGAAGCTCCACCCATTGACCCTGATGTCATGAAAATGCTTCTGCGCATGCTCTACTGTATATCTCTGTTATGCTGATATCTTGGTTCTTAATGTTTGAATTTGGCAAAATGAATTTCATCTGCTAGGTTTGCAAGTACTATTAAATTCATTTATAATGATTAAAAGATAATTATCCCCTATTAAAATCTGTTCCATTGTAATCAGACTTTAAAATGGTGACACATTTTCAAATGGTCAAATATCTCTATGACTATAACTGAGATTGTGTTGAGTCAGAAGTAAAGTGATTGACTTCAAACCACAAGCTGCATTCAGGAAAATTAAGCAGAAGAACCGACATAAGGAAAAGAGACATTACAACATTCTAGTATAAGTATATTTTGTTCTTGACAATAAAAGATTATGCTTTCAGAATGTTATCAGTGAATACAAAGGAATTATCTCTATTCTGTGATGCTCTGGAACATAATCTTTATGTTAGCTGTTGTGTAAGTTTGGAAAGTAATGTAGTCTGATGTGTGTTCCCCCCCCCCCACATTAGGGGATAAATCAGCAACAAAAAGCCTCAGAATTTTTCTGTCTGATCTATTAAGCCAGGGGTCAGCAACCTGCGGCTCTGGAGCCGCATGTGGCGCTTTCACCCCTCTGCTGCAGCTCCCTGTCACTCAAAATATGTGTCACAACCACCAATATGCAACACCCACTGGCACGTGATTTATTGAGCTTTTCAACCCACGTTAGGCCAACCATGGATAAATCCAAGAAATTAAAAGTTTCAGAAGAAAACAGAAAGTTTAATTCAACTACATAAGCTAGTTTTGTGGCCATTCAAGAAATAGTCAGGCATGGGAAGGGTTTTGTGGCTCCCAGTGTTTTCTTTTCTGTGGGAAACAGGTCCAAATGGCTCTTTGAGTGTTTAAGGTTGCAGACCCCTGTATTAGGCAGTTATTTATCTGGATTAATGACTGCTTCTTTAGGGAGACAGGGAAGCTCAATGGTAGTCCTCATGTTTTGCTAAAGAGAGTCATGAGAATCGTGCAGCATACAAATGTAATATATTATATTTAGATAAAATAGTGTAGAAAGTTAGCACCCACCCCTCTCCTAGAAGAATGAAACATTTTGAGAAATATTAAAAAGGCAGAATATTATATTTCCCTGGATAAGAAATGGAGAAACTCTCAGAAAGCAGCCCCACCTTTCTTAATAGTCCTCAGCAGATGTCAACACTTAAGAGATAAAGAGATAGATAGATCTATTCATAAGCAAATATCCTCATCCAAGATCCAACAAAGGTAGGATTGGCCCTCAGCCACAACTGGAATTGCCCAATGCCCCTTCATTGCATCACCCTCAAACTTCAAGCAAACTTAGCTCAGACAAACTCCTAGGATTTGTACATGGCCCCATGGGAGTCTGACAACAGTCAATAGAATACATATTCTTGCACAGGAACAGGAAGCTCAAGTGCAAAGCCCAAGGGAATATATAAAAACCCCTCACTCTCAACTCCATGTGGTCAGCTGCCCAGAACCCATGTTGTTCTGCTTCATCATTAAACCATCTTTCCAATCAGCCTCCATGTTTCCAGTGTCTTTCTCCCATCTTGGAACTGAACCACATGGATATTTCTTCCAACAGTAGGGATGGGCCAAC